TTTTAGGATTTCTGGATTATTTAGAGACTTTCTCAAATTCAAATTAATTTTTTCCCTCTTATTTATTGTTTTTCTACTTTTTTAGGATGTTTAAATTTTCCCTTTTCAACTGTTAGACTTGAATAGTTGATTCATATTCCCCCAAATTTTATTAGAAACTGTAAGGACGTGATTTTTTTTAAATATTGACTTTTCTTTTTAAGGGCTCTGACATATGCGGAAATCAGTGAGCTTGAATCCTTACTCCCTATAGAATTTTATAAATATTCCATCGAGGAAGCACTTTCAATAAGCCATTCAACTGATCCAAAATTTTCCTCCTTTAATTATCTAGAAGTCAAAACACCTTTTCTTACAATTAGCTTGGCTGTTGCTGATGTTTTGTCATTTTTTATTTAATAATTATTATTATTATTCAGGGTCCCTTTAATTTTAAATAATGCCTTAAACCTCCAAAAAGCCGAATTAGAATGGCCCTTTTTTTAAATATTTTGGAGAGGTGATTTTGGAAAAGGCAATCATTTTTGGTTGAAAGTTGATATTTTCGATCAGAAAGATATTTCCCCTGAAGGTATTTACTTTAAATACGAGGTCTGAGAATTTCCTGCCGGATTCAAAGGATCTGAAACCTGATCCGTGCTCTGCTTTCTGTGTTGAAAGAAGCCTCAATGCATAATCCGATCTGATTTCCAACCTTTCACTATATAGCACAGCCGGCAGCCACTCCATTAGCAACGCGTTCGTACATTCCGTGTTTCGGTTATAAAGCATCCCTCCTCCCTCTGCGTACCGTTGCTAATGCTAACGAGAATTTCCCGTGGAGCAGAAAACTAGTTTCTGCGGCAAGTCACTCGCCGCCGCATGTGTGCGCGGGTATTGATTGAATGATCTCTCTGCGAGCGAGGCAAAGGTGTTTCGCAGCCTCTCGTCGGCCGGCCGGCCCACCGGTTTCCATGCCAGACGCACAGGGCGTTCTGCGAGCAGCCGTGTGGGAGGCATTAGGCCGGGCACTAATAATTAAACAGCCCCAATACGTCTGACTGGGAGCTGCTTTATCGCCGCACACAAAGGAGAATTACCATAGTAGATTAATTAATGATAAACGCGTCCACCTCTCTTCTTCAAATTTTTATTTACAGGTAGTTGAGTTTATTTGCAGAGTGTGGGCGAGAATGATATTTGATGTGGGTAAGATATTTGCATACGCCATTCATCAAATAACACAGTAAATCAAAGTTCAAAGTTCAAAATCCTTAAAATTTGTTATTGGTCAAATATGTTTTCCACTTCTTAAGTAAAATTTGACATTGTATGTTAGCAAATTTTCGTCATTCTAATTCAAAATGCAAACCTCATATGTACCTTTTCATGATTTTTTTTTTTAAGTTCTACTTTAAATATTGATTTTGAGACTTTATTTTAACTTCCTATCTCGTAGTCTTGTTTGCGGAGTTTTAAAGCAAAATTTGTTCTAAATTTTTCTTCATAAAATTAATTCGTAAGAATGCAATAAGTCGCACGGAAATAAAAATTATCAATAGAATTCCAAGAAGTCTACATCAAGTTTAAAAATTTCTATTCTGAGAAGTGGGTTTTCGATTTATGAGGTTGAAAAGTGCCGTCGGCTCGTTCCAGGAAGCACGCTTTGTATCTCTGCGGCCGGCACGCTCGCGACGACCCACGCGTTTTTGCCCTGCTCAATGAAAATTGCGCAACGTGCCTCTGTACGTTTTATTTCTCCCCAACTGCATGATGTGCAAACGCTTTTCATTTTGAAAGAGAGCCTCTCCCATCTCTGTTTCTTTCATCGCCGCCTTCGCTCTCTGACGAGAGAGAGAGTTATTATTTTTTATGTGTTTGTGCAGCCCCCGAGGGAAGAGTTTTTTTGCCGCGAGCCCCAGAAATCGAGCGTCGGTATGCAGCCCGCGCGACGGGCACGCTCGACAAAAAGCCTAATTCTCTCGACGACGCGCGGATTGCGTCGGCCCGAGAGGAAATAAACAAAGCGATTGCGGCCGTTGCAAAGGCGATTTGCGGATTATGCGACGGCCCCACTCACTCGTTGGTAATCACGCGCACGGTGATTAACGCCCGAGAAATGCAGAAGAGGGATTCAAGCTCTGTTCGAGGCCTCCGAAAATACCTTTTAACAATCTAAATAACTGCAGAGTTATAAAATTGACAACAACTAAACAAATATTTTTAATCTGACTGATCTGCATAAATAGTTTAATTCGGTTTAATTGAACGATTCAAAATTTAAAGAAAAAAAATTTTAACTTATTATGGTTCTGAATAAAATAAGCAAATATATTAATTTATTTATTATAATTATTTTTCTACATGATAATTGATATTTATTAAATTTTGGGTTATACATATAAATTTGTCATAATTATATCCTTTTTTTAGTGTTTTTTTTTTTTAATAAAAGTTAATAAACACAATGCTAATATTTATTTTTATATCAAGTTCGATTTTATGCTAACAAATTTGGAACTAAATTTTATCAAGATAAATGTTTAAATAAAAAAAGTATTTAGAAAAGAAATCAATTGAAATATAACACAATTATGAACATTAGTAAAAATAATGAGGGAGAGAAAATTTGAAATTGTTGGCACTAAAAACTTAAGATCAAAATGATGCCATCTACTGATTAGCCTAAAAATATATATTTAATTTTATCACTTTTGTGAATTAAGGACGCTTTTGTTTTGTTGAGTTACATTAATTAGTTAAATTAATTTTTTTTTAATGGAATTTCTAAACAACAACAAAAATGAATAGAAAAATATAAAAATATCTTTCAGTTTTAAAATGAATTTTGCGTGTAACAAAAACCTAACAGAAAGTCTCGTCGTCATTCATGGAACCAGGTTTTTTAGGACGCACGCGCCTGCAAAGCAATTAGAACAAACAAAAGCCTCTCTCTGCGAAATTATTGAGGGCTTTTGCAAAAAGAAAAAGAGACTGAGCACACAAAGCGCGCCTATTATGCAGCATTCGTGCGGGTTTTGCAGCAGCGAGGCCGTTCTCGTTCTCAACTCACAGTTTTCCCACACACACTCACCGTTGCTGGAAGTCAAACTCATTCTTTGCGAGTGTCGGCAACAGTCGCGAGTCGACACCGATCAAAATCTTTCCCTTTTGCATTATTAATAAGTCAGCTGAATATCTGTGTATCCCGCGGCCAAGTGAAAACCCAGGTTTTGATTATGCAGGTTTACGGTGCTCATTGAATGAATGTTTAATGAGAAAGAGGGAGAGGAGAACGCGTTAAAATTATCGCCACGGCCCATTCCGAGTTGTCGCGCGATAAGGAAACAAACGCGACAGAGAAATATAGCACCGATGCTCGTTTGGCCCAGCTTCAGGGGAGTGATAAAGAGCTCGAAGGATAAAGTGCCAAGAGTTTTCAAATGGATTCGTGGAATAAGAGAGTGAAAACTCGAATGCGCTTTTAATTGAATTGCGTGAATTATTGCAGATTTTAAGAGTTTGGTGCATACATTATAAATTTTAAAACAATAATCGTACAACAAAAATGAGAGAGTGAGATTTTTACTGTCATATTCAAATAATTGATAATCAGTAAAAAGTTATTTAATTTGATATGAAAGCAAAATTTATCTAGGAATTTTTCCTCGTCAGTTTATTAATTTAAAACATTTAAAATCAACAACCAACAACTTTATAAACAAATGAAGAAAAAGTTCAATTCGATATATAGTAAAATAAACATCTAAAATTTACAGCTCTGCTCCCCCTATAAAAAATGGTTAAAGTAATTAAATAATAATTTAATTAAATCATTTCTATTATAAATGAATTTATGATGATTTTTCCCTTTTTACCCGCATATTTTATAATAATTTCCGTTTTATTCATATAATAAAAATTTATTCCATTTTTCAAACTAGATTCGTGGCATTGTGGCGTGAGACATTATTTTTAACTGCATTTTTATAGTTTTTTTTTTTTTTTAAATAAATTTTCAATAAATAAAAATTTACATTCCTCTTCCAATAAATGTAGCTCGTTGAAAATATGAACTAAATAAATTTAAATTAACCATAAAACCAAACAGTTTGACACATCTATGGAATTTTAAATACAAATAAAGGTATAATCACAATCAGCAAGAAATATTTAAAATTTCACAGTGAAGTTGGATACAAAAAAAAAATTAAATATAAGTCCAGACCATTTTAAATTCTATTTTTAAAATTTCAAACTTTATTTTAAAGATTTTAAAGCTAAATTTTTACATTTCAGAATAATTGTCCTAATACATGTAAAATTCCTCAATTATTATTGATAAATGCTAATATTGGTTATTTAATTTTTATTCAATGTAAAAATGAATTTTGTGAGTGTTGAAAAAATATGATAAATAATTTTTTTAATCTAAATAATTTAAAGCTCATTGAAGTGAAGTGCAGGATATAATTTTTCTTTACAAAACAATAAAAGACTAAACTATCCTGTCAAGAAGGAGCCGATTTTCAATGACCAACCAAGAAAGAAAGCAAATAAAAGCACGGAATATATTTAGATGGATAATAAAACTGGTGAAAAAGTGGATAAGAAAAACGTGCGGAAGTATGAGTGAGCAGAAATATATTCAGTCGTGTCGCAGCTTGTAATTCAGGCCCATCAATAATTCTGGCACTGCCCCTTGTCAGACGCAGTGAGCGAGCCGAGAGAGTGCGAGTTTGATGCAGTGTTCGGCGGGTGGGTGCACAGCACACGCGTCCTGGGGGGCGGAAAAGTGGCACACACGCGCGTGTGGGGGCGCACCGGAAGTGGCTGCTTTGCAACGTGAAAAGAAGAAGAAGAAGATAAGCGAAAGGCGAATTTTTCAAATGAGGTGCGACGAGCTGCGCTCGGCAGCCGCTCGGAGGCGCTCGGGGGCGGCTCGGCTCGCTCCGCCTCCGGAGCATCCCTGGCTAGAATTGCGGGGGTGGGTTTGGGTACAAACCGCGGGGCATTGAGCAGCAGCGAGGCCAGCCAGCCTCAGCATTCAGCTCAGTCAGTCAGTGTGTCGCGCGGGTTGCAGCAGGTCGCTCCGTCTCTACTACCAACTCTCTCTCTGGTGAGTCTCTCAGCCATTTTGGTCCCGGCTCTCTTGTGCCGGACTATTTTGTCAAACGTATATTTTCTTGCCGAGCAGTGAAATTATGAGATTTGATAACCATTTATGGACTGAAGTGCGCAAAACCTTTTATTTTTGTAATAGACAAAAAATAAAATCTGTTGTTTGGGATTGAAATTAAACTGTCACTACTGAATATTTCAAAATGTTCAATTATAAAAGTTATAAAATTGAAGAAATTGAATCTATGGGTGTTCGTACTTTAAATAATTACTGAAATTAAAGGCTCGGTAATTTCGTAACTTTCATGACGAAAGTTTTTTCGGATTAAAAAGGTATCTTGTTTTTAAGATAGATTAGTGTTCTGTTTATGGTAAATTATGTACATTTTGCAACTTTCTTAAAAATTCAAAATGCGTGCATAATGAGAAAAGTATGTTGGGAGTGAATTTTGAAACTCGTTCTAGAGGAAAAATAAAAGCTTAGTCGCGCGTGAGGCTCCTTTACAAGTCTCTAGATTCGGATTAGCGTTTAATCTTCATTTAACTCGGCTCCCCTTTCCTTCCTCTCAATATTCCTCGCTTTATTTCAGGCGCTGAATCCTCTCAAGTTAATTTTCCCCTCGCCGACGCGCTGCACAGCAGCATTCCGTAATATTATGTGAAATGGGGCCGGGAAATTTCACAAACATGTAATGCAAAATTGCGCATGCTTTGGATTCCAGCCGGTGTTACGTTTGGTCACATTTTTATGGCCCATTTCGCACTTCCCTCGAAGCGCGCGGGATGAATTTCTTTCTAGTTACTGCTTACGCTTGTTTGACTTAATTTGCTGCAAATTGGACTGAAAAGGATTCGGCCTTGACGCTCGCAGTAATGGAAATAACGAAGACGGAGTGCCACCCTCGACAACGACAAGAGAGAATGCGAAAACTCTCTGGTGACAGTCGCTGTCATTAGCTGAAAGGTTTTGTCGATTCGCTTGGAAATTTAATAATTCAACACGCTATCGTTATTCCTACGAGTAAAAATTTGTCTGCCTTGAGACTTACAGAAAATTACTTTAGCATTCATTAACGTTAATCCAATTGAATCAGGCTCAATTATTTTCCTACAAAATTTTATGAATTGGTCAATTTAGTTGTCACACCCTTCACTTTTATATAATTTTCACATTTTCTTAAGGATGGCTTAATTTAATTTTAGTATTTTATTTTTCTTCGGAAATATGAGAAATTATATCAAGACAACAAAATAGATCAATCATTTAATCAGAGTTTTTCATAAATTCATCAATTTCCTATGGATTAATTATTTTCCTATAAAAATGATTCCATTTCTACGCTCTTTATCCTGTACATTCCTTTTTATTTCGTTTGTCTCTATCTAATTTTCACAGCAATAAAATCTTGATAAATTAATATTTATTTTAATAGAAAAGTAGATGAATTCAGTTATAATTGCCAAATTAATTAACTACTAAAAGACAAATATACCAAAATTAAAAATCAAATTTTTATTTTTTTCCTATCATTTTATTATGATTTGGGGCTTATATTATTTAACAAAAATATAGTGATTTATCAGAATTATGATGTTTAGATTAAATAAAATACTAGAATTATTTTATCATTTTTATTGATTTTCAGAAAATTGTGTCTTTAGAAATTTAAAATTAATTTTTGCAAAAATATTTTCATGAAAATCAAATACTTTTGCTAAATATCTTTTATCCTATTTTCATTTTCCGCAAAACTAGATTTCCATTTTTTTCCATTTAAAATTGGTAATGAATCTGAATTTATGTTTTCAAATTCATCAAACAGGAAGAAAATAATAGTATTCACTGTTCCAAATTCTGTGTCGAGCTCCTTGTCAAACGCAATCATTGGTAGGAGCGTCACGTTTCAAATAACGCCGCTCTCATCTCTCCCATTTTTGACAACTTTCAGAGACAGTATTTGCTTTTTTCCAATTCCACCAAAGCCGTCGTCGTCGGGTTGTTGGAATAATGAGCGAGTGGATGCTCATTTTGCGCCAAAACGTTCCTCATCCCTGCGCCAAAGTAGTGAATGGCAAGAAGAGCAGCAGCTGCAGCGCTAGTTTTAATTAGTTTCACACGTGCAGGGAGCATCCCCGTTCCTTTTATGACTTGCCCCGCCATAAACCACTTTGCATGCCGATTTATCAAATTACAAAGCCGCACCGCCAACCGAGCCGAGAGGCGTCGGAATTTTAATTAAGAGGCGACCGTTTTGCCGAATCTGACCGCGGCCAGCAAACTTCTATATAACCTGCCACCTGAAGCCGAACCGTCTCGCGAGTTTGTTTACCTGCTGCGGACCAGCAACATAACGCGCCCTTTGATCTGTGCACGGCCATATATTCGGTAATTGTTATTCGAGAGAAGTTTCCTGTTTCTGACAGCCGTAGCGGAAAGGAAATGACCAACGGTGCGCAGTACCATTAATTTCGACCACCTTTTGCCAAGTGAAAGCTCGTTTATCATTAAAATTGAATTGTGGCAAATTATTTCACGTCAGGAATTGAGTTAGCGTGAAAATATTAATTTAGTTGCAAAGTAGAAGTTTTTTCTTACTGCAATTCCATAAAATGTATAATTTGTTTCATTCTTCCAATTGTTACAACAATCATATTTTACAAATTCCTCTGAAACGCATTAAAATTTGTATTCATAAATTAATTAGGGGCGAAACGGAATCGCAATTAACGCAAAAGCCTTACTATTATTAACCAGCGGATCAATAAATCCAATAAATCAGCTCTCTGCTTAAAGCCTTTAGAGTTTAACGATTTTGGCATACGAAAGCAACAATGCTTTATAATTGTAGCTACTTTGGTCTGAAACGTCACAATATATAATTCATAATAAATATTAATTCCGTCTGATCATCAGCCAACATAAATTATAATTTGTTATTGTTGAATTTATTTCATATCAATTTAAAAGTCAAACCAATTATTTTTTAAATTGGGGCAACATATTAAGAAAAATCAGTCTTTACAACAATGGGAGCCATTTCTGGAGATTGTAGAACAGCAGAAGTTCTAACAATTTTTTTAAATTGCTTGATAATGTCATTAAGGAGTTTTTAAAACAATTTTCTTCAAAACATTTTGATATAGGCTACTTTCAGTTGTAGAAGTTGAATATCAAATTTTTTATTTAAACAGCTATTTAAGACGTTATTCCTTAATTAAGAAGTTTTAGTTGTGCCAAGAGAGTTATTGACATAAAATCGATGTTTACCATGTTCCCAAGAGCGCAGTCTTTTGTTCCCAATTCCATGGTATTGACTTTTTCCCCATCTTTATACTTTCTTTCCTTGCCAAAATACACGGGAACATCTCTCGCCAAGGTCCAAAGTGTATCGAGTGAAAGGAAAATAAAAGTCGGCGTCTGATATAATTTGAAGCGTTGGTCCCCTGCCAATATATATATTTCCGCTAAATTGAAATGAAGATCTTGACTCGAAATTGATAATTTATACGGTGCACGTTATCTGCCCACCCGGTCTGCCGGCGCGCGTTGTTATCATAACACAAAAGGAATTTAATTTAAGGTAAAAGAAGAGCGCTCGCTCGCCAGGGAGAGAGAAAGCGAAAGAGGTTTGCTTGCGTTGGGGGGCGACCATAAATTTAACGGCCTACAAGCTGGAATATGGCTTTTAAGAATAAGTTATAGAGCACACGAGTTTGCTCTGCCGGAGAGAGAGTGTCGCGGTAATTTATGGAAAGGGGTCTGCGTCGTTCCGCGAAAATAATATTAATCGACTGCTTCCGTTCTCTCTCTTGATTTCCATAACTTTCGTCCCTGGCGGCCTTTCGATGAAGCAAAATTATCGATTGCAATCAGTGCAGCGGATTTAAATTATGACGCGCGGATGTCATCAAAGAGAGCGAATCAACGCTCGCTCCACTGATGTTTCAATTAGGCCAAAGCTGAAGGCCGCACCGCAAATCAAATATGATTTCTTGATTGGAAAATTAAAATAACTTGTTAATTTTATTTAAGCTTTGTGACATTCCAGCACGTTTATTTTTTTAATCAAGTTTGTAATTTCAAATGAAAAAAGAAAAATTTTACATAATTTTTTATCATTTTAAAACTTATTTCACTCTCGGAAGTCCCTTGCAATGAAGTTAGGAAGAGATTTTCCCAAATATATAAATATAAAACAATTGTTGTTAGTCTCTTTGCATTAACTTGAAAACAAGCAAAATTTTGGTTTCACAACCTTACTATTCAGGACGGCTTATTCCTCTTGAGTCTCAATTAAGGAAATATACATAGTTCTCTGAAAAAAAGTTGCAACCACCTGAACTTCTAAGCTCTCAAGGTTTTAGAGTTTGGAGTTGGTCAAGAATAGCCTCTTAAGTTGAAGCTTGGGTCTTACGGTGGTTCAGAAAGGCCGCACATTGAATTTGCAGAGAATTATCATATCAAGTGTATGAAAAGCTTTTCTAATTACGAGGAAAGCTATTGCTACTTGATATTTACACAGCAGGGATGAAAAAAAATCTTGAAGAAAATTTATAATTTTCTGATGACATAAAAAGAAGTCATTAAAGTTTTTAACCAAATTAATAAAAATGTCTAGATTACATCCGTATTTTCAATTTAATTTATGGCTCCAAAAAGATTCAGCCTAATCCTTAAACTATTGTTTTTCTTTTAAAAAATATGCATATCACTAAAACCCTACTGAGACATCAATAAACACCTTTTTGCAACTAAAACCGTGTCGTTATTTATCGCTTTTATTAATCAATTTTACTTTAAAAATAATATGTGCCAGGCATATTTTATTTGCAAATAAATTAAGCAAAAAATGTCGGTATCTTTATATTTGCCAACACTTACACCTACAGGTTAATATTAGTCGATGCAAAAAAGTTGTGTATCTTTGACATTTCCTCTTTGCAACAAATTCGCGCGGGCGTGCGTGGCATTAGGAAAGGCCATAGGCAATGGAACTC